CAGCGCGGGCCCGCCGGGCGCCCGCACGGCCCTCGGTTTTGCCCCGCCGGTTCGCAATCCGCGGCCTTTTCTCCGCGCTCCCCGGGGCTTTGGCCTCTGCGGAGCTGGAAGGAAGCACGGGATTTTTTTGTTCTCTCCGTGACGAACAGCGTAAAAAATTGGTACAAAGACCTGCGCGCTTTGCGGAAGCTGGAACTTGAGAGCGTGATGAATCTGAAAGCGCTGGTGTCCCAGTTACCCCGCGCCGCCGCGGGGCTGCGTTGGCTGAACTTTTAGTAACTCCGGGGCTTTGGCCTCTGCGGAGCTGGAAGGAAGCACGGGATTTTTTTGTTCTCTCCGTGACGAACAGCGTAAAAAATTGGTACAAAGACCTGCGCGCTTTGCGGAAGCTGGAACTTGAGAGCGTGATGAATCTGAAAGCGCTGGTGTCCCAGTTACCCCGCGCCGCCGCGGGGCTGCGTTGGCTGAACTTTTAGTAACTCCGCAACGTTACTCGGTTATTTTTAGTGGTGACGTAGTACGTGGAATGGAAGAATCTCGTGGGGAGCTGGGCAGGCTCTGATCGAGGGAGGCAAAAGCCCTCCTCCTCCGGCACGAAGTCCCTTGTGCCTCAGCAATACTTGTGTTTCCTGTGGACGAAGAGAGCAGCAGACACGTGGGGGTTTAGAACGATTTCTCTTTGGATTACGATCAAGACTCCAGGGCTTTAGAAAGAAAACCCCCATTCGATAGAAGTGTTCCATGGAACTGGCTTCTCTGGAGTCAAACTTTTCGGTGCAGTCCCGAGTACTCAGGAGTGCTCACGCGGACGATTCCCTTTGCTGAGTGTTTTGCCCCTCCCCGTTGTAGGAACTGTCTCTCTGGATTTATGGTCTTGACTTACGAGCAACACCTTCAAAGAACTGTGCTTGTTCCCTAACTGTTACTTCTGCTTCTTTCCTAGAATGGCGAGAATTTCTGCATTCTGGATGAGCAGAGGTTTGCCAAGGAGCTGCTCCCCAAGTACTTCAAACACAACAATATCTCCAGCTTCATACGACAGCTTAACATGTGTAAGCATCAGCTGTCCTTATGTGTTCTTCCCACCGAGTTCATTGCTGCTTGGTATCGATTTGCATTTCTGTAAACAAACCGATTGACTCGGCGGGTCCGGAAAACCTGGATTCTGGTCTTGAGTTTGCTTTGCAAAAGAAAAGAATAACAGCAGAGCTTGGCTTAGTCTTTGTTTTCTGTGTTTCGGCTCCGAGTCCTTTTAAGCAACGACCATAAAAATCCTGCTTTGTGTGCTGATGCCTAAATCTTGGGCAGAGCTCGCTGGGCTCCAGTGGTAGCGTTAATGGTAACGGTGGCAGCAAACTGGCGCACACCTAGGGGAGCAAAGGCCGTATCTACACCCGTGCATCCAGTGCGTGAAAGAAATTGCCTGGATCCTGCTGTTGCCTGCATTGGTGTGTTGAAACGAGATTAGTCACGCTGATGGATCGAGCTGGACTGTTTCTCGCTATGTTATCTGTGCTCGACGGGTGAGCATCGCGTGGCATCCGTTATCTAACACCTGCACAGGCAAACAAGCTGGAGTGAGGTGGGAATTCAAGGATACAGAACAACGAGCGGGGCTGCAACACACAGCGGGAAGAGTTGTTTCGCAGCAGATAGCTTGTGGGCTGAGTGAAGGTACAAACCGCGTAGCAGACGGCCACCTTGCGTAGCATTTCCATTTGGAGGAAGGGGAGGAGGAACCCTCTCTCCTTGCCCCGTAGGTCTGCCTGGTCTCTCTAGCTGATGCCTTTTAGATTTTGTCAGGTGTGAGAGAGGAAGCGTGCATTTAGCCTCCTCGCACAGGGTGCATGCTGCTGTTTGGGTGGATGCTGCTGTTTGTGTCGGGCGTTGAGGCTCCGTCACTTCTGAGCGTCAAAGGTTAATGCAAACAAACAATTGCCAGCTGCCCTGTAGCGAGGGTGAATACTGAAATGCAATTACTCCTGCGAAGACATGCGATGCGATGGCAGCCGCCTTCTCCTGCTGGACCCAATCCCAGCTGCAAGTAAAGTTTTCTAATGATAGCGCCGCTGGGTGCAGTGACACTGGAATACATTAACAGTGTCAAAAGCTTGGAATGAGGAGAGGCATCGACTGATCTGTCAACTGTGTTGTGCATCTACCCTGTGGTATTTGAAGCAGTGGTGGAAATAGAGCTGGCAGTGTCCTTATTTTGTGCAGGCAGTCTGGCGCGCAGAAGGTACTCTGCGTGCGTGCGTTTGCATAGGATGAGAACTAATTTCTCTTCCTTTATTCTGTAGACCCTGGTGGTGCATGACAGCATTTAGTTTGATCTGTAGTTGTCTGGGATTATAGGCATGAAAGGGGGGTACACCTTTGCACTGCCTCCACTGGGCAAGGTTTTATTCAAGATGTCCCAATAAATCTCATTTCCTACTAACTTCTGTGATTTTGGACATCACCACCTTGCTTGCAGACCCTAGCTGGCCTCTGCCGTGCGTGCTGTTTGCACAGCCTGCGAGGGCTTTTGGTGGTATTGGGGACGTGCTCTCTAGCTGTGAAGATCAGAGCAGTCAAATCATTGAGCACCAAAGAAAAGCTACTTTGGCTGGTTTTCATAGTTTCTGCTCCCAGTAACTGTAGTGCTGTAGGTATTCCAGCAGCCTTGGGGTGTTCTTGAGCTATGTGTTGTGACAGTTGCGCTGGAAGACGTGACTTTGTTAATACCTCTCCACAGATGGTTTCAGGAAGGTGATTGCTCTGGAGAATGGTATGATTACAGCAGAGAAGAGCTCTGTCATTGAGTTCCAGCACCCTTTCTTCAAGCAAGGGAAGGCGCATTTGCTGGAAAACATCAAGCGGAAGGTACAGTCTAAGCATGTGCTTACTTCACTTCGTTATGAGAAGTAGCCTATCGAGAGCATGTCTGGGGTTTCAGACGCTTCACTGCCAACAAGTTCCATGGGAACCAAGGCTGTGCATCGTGACGCGAGCCTTTGTGGCTCCCTCCTGCGTGCCAGGCTAATGCTCGGCTTGGCCTCCTCATGCCAGCCCGTAGACAAAACGCACCCTGCTGCTGTTCAGCAACGCGCTGGAGTAGGACCACGTTCTTCTCAGCTGTCAAACTCGAGCCCTTTCTCCCCGGAGAGCTCATATACACGATGACAGCTTACCGTGGCCTTCAATTCTGCCAGCACAGGAGAACTGGAAAGAGTCACAAAGTGACAGAACTAAAAGAAAATGCATTCCCATTTGGTGCTCACTGAAAATTAGCAGGGGCATCAGGAGTCAGCTCGTTTGGGCGCGTTAGCATAAATGACATTGTTCCTCCAAAGCTGCGTTGCCGCTAAGCTACACCTTTATTAGCGCCTTCCAGTTTTCTTTTGTCCTTCTTTCAGGCCTTGTCTGACCTGTTTCTGCACAGATATATATCCTCTATTGGCACATTACAGCCCATAATATCCTGGCTGCCAGAGAAAGAGAGTATCGTGATACATCATGTTGACATCTGAACTGCAGAATCTTTTCTCCAGAATGTCGTAATGTGGTAGCTGCATTGCCCAAGTTAATAAAAGCACAGGGTAGGCTTGAGAGTCGCAATTGTGTTTTGATTGATTCCTCACGGAGCTGGCTCTGCTCGGAACCACAACTGATTAAATACACTTGTACAGCTGCTTCTCTGACTCAGGCCTGCGCTCTTCCCAGATCCTTTAATCGCTAACTTGCCTTGGCTTGCACCCCGTGCTTTCTGGTCTTTTGGGGCAGCCAGCTGATGACGTTATGTGTGGCACCACATATCCCAGGAGTGCTGCACTGGGTGGAGTATTCTAGATGGAAAGACAAAAGCTCTCGTTAGGGCCAAGGACATTCGCATGAAACTATGGAATGGGTCAGTGAAACATTCTTTTGGCACAGGAAATGTTAGTGATTTTTTGCAAAACATCTGTTAGCTTTTCTTGCTCTTTTACTGTCTGGAATGGAGCCATATTTTAGTACTTGCCATAAGCTTGATGTCAAGCCTCTAGCAGGAGGGCAAGTTCGAACGCAGGACTTCCTTTGTTTGCTCCCTTTTAGGCTTAGCTCTGCTGGTGTGCTTCAGCCCTGGCACCCTCATTAGCTAGGCGAGACACTGAGGAGAGCCAGAGTGTGCAAGTCCTTGCACTTGGGCAGAATGTTTTAGTCTGGCCCTTTTTTAGAGGCAGGCTGGCTGCATTTGAAGTTTCCACCTGCATCCTTCGGGTGTCTTCCCCATGGGGAGGTGGTATGTCTGAAATCAGCCAGCCGTGATTCATTTGGGATACAGCTCATGTGCCTTAGCGTAAGGTGTTATCCGCAACAAATAGCGAAGCATCTAAAAATGTAGACAGAGAGGAGAACGGTCAGGCCGTCCAGTCCATCCTTGTAACACTGGGCTATGGTAAGAAAGTAGTTAGTTATTTCTGTGGAGTGATTACAGAACACTCCTGTTCTGTTTCATCATGAAGTGATGGGATGTTCTAACACCCTAGGTCCATTTCTGACCATCCCATTCTCCTTTACAAAAAAAAAAAAAAAAAAAAGGACTTGGGATCCTACCACACTCATGCATTGAAATTGGTAGGATTTTTTTTCTTATTTTCACTAGAAATCTGGTGGAAAAAGTGGCATGCTAAATTTCTTTGCAAAAAAAAAAAAAAAAAAAAAAGGGAATCTGTGAGCCAACCTGCATGGAATTTATCTAGCACTTCAGCAGGCCAATCCCAGACGCTTTCACCTCCCTCTTGGAATTTGGTAGAACAATAAGAAAAATCGTATGTGCTGTAGGTTGGAAGGGACGTCAGGTGGTTATCTGGTGCAAATCCTTTTGGTTCAAATATGGAAGCGTGGGAAGGAGAGGGTGAGCTTTTTGCTTTCTGATGACCCTTCCACCATCGTTTTAAGAGGTGGCATTCGTGGATTCTGCTGTGGGCAGAAGAGCAGTTTGGACTCTGACTTTCTGGAGACAAGTGTCCATAATTTTGGAACGTCAGTGAGCGGAGAGGTAATAGAGGAAACACCAATGTGGGAATCTGCAATTCAGATGGTGTGTGACAAATATTCAGATTGAGTAGGATACATCTAATTAGACACTTTCCCGCATCCCCCTCCCCCCCCAGTAACTTAATGGACATTTGTTACTCCTGTGCTGGCAGGTTAACCCACGCCTAAAAGGAATATGATCATCTTGTTCGTACTCCACTATCAGTTCTGTGCTTTGGTTTGGGTTGGTGTCTTACTCTTTGACACTAGAGGGCAAGCTGTCACCAGACCTGCCAGAGAGACACACACACACACACACACACACACACACCCCCCCGCCCCCGGGAAGGCCCGTGTCAATGAGTGGCAGGTTTTTATCATGAATTACAGTGGTCGATCTACTGTCTACACACGCAAAGTGCCAGTCTTGTGTCCTCATTGACATCTTGGGTTTTTCCATGCAGTGTGGACTCTCCTAAGGACTGTCATCTACAGCTACTGCAGTGTTTGCGATACATAAGGCTGACGGCATTACCTAATCTTTTAGTGAAGTTTGTACCTGTTCCTGTAGAAAGGACTATGCAAGTCACTGTTCATAGTAAAGCGCCTGTAACCTGGTCCTATTTTAGGTATCTGCAGTAAGAACTGAGGATCTCAAGGTCTGTACGGAGGATTTGCACAAAGTACTTTCCGAAGTCCAGGAAATGAGGGAGCAGCAGAACAACATGGATGTCAGACTGGCTAACATGAAGAGGTAGACTCTGTCTGTCTCAGAGGCGCTTACACATTGAATGTTGCTTATATCTAATGGAGCTTGGCTTTAAATGGGGGTTTTATTTGAACTGGAAACAGGTGAAGCTATATATTTTTTTTTTTTTTTTTTTCCCCCCCTAAGAATCCCCATTCCACCCCACACAACATTCTGAATCTTGTTTGGCTTTATAACTCAGTTACAGACCAGAGGTTAAGACTGGGTGTTCGTTGACTATCTTGAGATTTCCTTTTGGTTGCCATCACCTGTACTAGGCTTTTAGGGCAATCAAAGAATTTCCTTTTCTAAACACAAGACAGGGGTAGATGCAGTGAGGAAGAATTAGCCCTTGGTTTTCTTTCTAATTGGAAGTGGACTTTGCACGTCCGCATCTCTGTTCCCTCAGATCCTTTTTGTGTAGGCACTGGTAATGCATCCAGATCATCGCTCTGCAAGCAGGTATCAACCAAAGTTCAGGAGACACCTTCGCTCCACTCCCTCTGTTCCTTTGGGAAAACCCAAACAAACCAACCACACGACCTCAAACATGGACTTTACAACTGTTCTGAGGTGGTCTGTGTTACGCTCAGCCGGTTGCCAAACACCAGGTCTTTGTTCTAAGGCTTTGAGGCTTTGAAGGAACACCTCAGACCAAGATTATTGGTGGAGCAGCGGAGGACGAGAATGTCCTTTTTAGTGACATTAGTTTGGTCCTGCCTGATGGAGAATGGAGGGAGTTTAACCCCGAGTTTATACTAGAGGATCGGATTAACTGATTGTTAGTTATCCGCAGAAGGAATGCAAGGTACTGTGAAAGTTTGAAAGCTGTAAAACTAAAGCATATAAAGTAAACTCTGTTCATCCTCTGTCTTCTAATTTATTCTGCATTGCAGAGAAAATAAGGCCCTGTGGAAAGAAGTGGCAGTTCTAAGGCAGAAGCACAGTCAACAACAGAAGCTGCTGTCTAAGGTACCATTGCAGCATCTTCAGTGCTACCACCCTTACTCCTGCCTCTGTGACACCTGATGGCATTCTTTGCTTATGTAGAATGACAAATGACACAGAGCTGAACAGGCTGTATTAATACAGCGTAAAGGGAATGTTCACAGTTCCTGAGTGTCCCAGCAGTAGCACAGCAAAGAACCACGAGCAGAACACTAAGGAAAAGTCATAGCAAAAAGGATTTCATTGTGTTTGAAATCTCAGTGAATCTTACTTGGAGAGAAATCAGTAAGTCACGATGGCCTGGGGTAAACGTGGGGCTGAAGGCAGTGCATGGTAACAGGAGCCTAAAACAAGAGATTGCAGGCACATGGAACAGAGTCTGTGAAAGATCTTGGACCAAGACAGACTTAAACCGCTCAAGAAGTCAACTTGGAACACAGAAACTATGGGAGCTTCTGCACTGGATCAAATTTTCTCTGGTTTATCCCTCAGCTGTTTCTGGTCTGGAAATCCTCTAGTGACTTGTGGTGTGATATTGCAGTTAAAAAAACCAAACCTGTCCAAGGGGTATAATTTTTCAATGCCGTTTGTAACTATCATTTTGGTTTTTAAGGCGCGAACACAAGTGGATTTTTCATTTACCTATTAATTTAAATCACATAACTACATAATTTTGTATTAAAATCTGAATTAATAATGTTAGGATTGCTATGCTGACTGCTTGTTTTTGGTTTTTTGTTTTTCCTTTCTAGATTCTTCAATTTATACTAAGTTTGATGCGAGGAAATTACATTGTTGGGGTCAAAAGAAAAAGGTAATGAACCAGATAGGTCACAAATCACTGTCAGATGTGAATTACAGGGATAAGCCAGCTTCTAGAAGCAAGATACTTTTCTTCATGAAGAATATTTTTATCACTTGTATATTCAAACTAGAGAAAGCTGATGGGAGTTGAATGTAGCGTGAAATAAAGGTTTCCTCTTCTTTATCATTAAAAAAAGGTTTGGGAAGAGAATATACTGCACATCTTAAGTTTTGAAGGGTGCAGCTATCAGAAAGGGTACCTCCTTCCAAGGGTGCAGATGTGACCGGCTGGTCTCAGAGTACATTTGGCGTGCAGCCTGTCTGCGGCACGCACAGACATTGCCAAAAGCCGACTTCCTTAGGAGGGGAAGGATGATTGTTCCTGCCTAACGGCACGCATTTGGCATTGTTACAGCTTCTTGCCGCGGAACTGATACTAAAGCCACGTTTTGTCTCAGGTCTCTGACAGATGCTGCCGGCGCCTCACCGTCCAAGTACAGCCGTCAGTACGTTCGCATACCTGTGGAGAGCGGCCAGGCCGTAAGTCTTCCCAGGGGAAGAGACTGGGGTGATGTACAGTGACCTCAGAGTCCTCCTTAGGACCATTTGTACCCTAACCGTATAATCAAATGCGCTCCATTTTGAAATGGGCAGCTTTAAAGCATGGCTCTGTCTGTAAAATCATGCAAATCGGTGCAATCAGTCAAAGATGAAGCCTGAACAGGGAAAAAGAAGCTGCAAGAAGAATGGAGCTTTGACACCAAAAAAAGTCAGACGTTTTGGTTTATTCATTCTATCTTCTGTATCCTGCAGATGGCTTTTTCTGAACATAATGCAGATGATGAGGATGGAAATGGTACGGGTCTCATCATTCGAGATATCACTGATACCCTGGAAAATGCGCCCGATGGTCTCCTTGCTGTGGCGCACACGAGTGGCAGAGGCAGGTACGTTTAAAGGATGTGGAAGGATTTATGATTAGGTTGTTAATTAGGTAGTTATAATGGTGTAAGTGACCCAGATGAAGTCTGGGAAACAGCCTCTCTGAATTTTTACTCTTAGGTGTGCATGACAGCCTGTTTGTAGGCTGTCTTGTGTGCAGCGTGTAGCATTGCCCGTGGCCAGCAAAGCTTTGTAAGAGCTCACGTCTCTCCAGGAGTGCCTGAAGGCCAATCAAGCTGATGGCACTTGAAGTTTAATTTGCTGAGGCTTTTCTGTCTGTTCAACAAAGAAGCACATACTTAACTTCTCGACTGGACAGGGACCTGAATACATATAGAGGTTCCTAATAAACAATCCAAAATGTATAGAGGTTACTGATAAACGAACCGAGACGTGTAGTTTTATCTCCAGTTTCGGTACTGCTCTCGCTAATATTGCGCTAAGCATAACTGAGGGGAGGGCAGTCTCTTGTGTGGCATCAGGTTCTTGTGAAAACCCACTTAGTTGTTACCATCCAGAGTGAAATACGGACCAGTTTGGAATCTTTTGTTTCCAGAGACACAACGTTAGGAAGTTTCCCTCCTGCCTAATTTCCATATCCTGTTTTGACGCTTTTGGCCTGGAAAAATGGGGTGGTTTGCTCTGATACTTGCTATCAGTATAAGCTGTAACAAGGTATTCTTCACCTGCCTTCAGGAAGGCACTTTTCTTCTTTTTCTAAAGCCTAGTTGGTTGGTTGAACCCTTGACTGGCTTGACCTTATTGGGTATTAAGGTTTGAGCTACTAAACTTAAAATGAGTGGTAACACAGCTGATGAATTCTACTGAGTGTTGTTTCTCTTTGGCTCATATTTTAGGGAGACGCAGGCAGCTCTGGACCCTGGCTTACCTATTTGTCAAGTATTGCAGCCAAATGAGTTAAATTGTGCGGAACCTATCCCACCAGTTCATACAAACGATGCCAACAAATCCAGTGGAATAGGACATGCTGCGGTGGAGCTCCATTCTGCACAGCCTAATGCTCCAGAAGACCCTGTGTCAGTGATTGACTCCATCTTGAACGAGAACAGCTCTGGAAACCAAAGTGATCCCTTACTGGACAGGTATTGACTTGTTTCTGGGAACTGTTACGCTGCTGTCATCCAGCGGCAGTTCCAGAGGTTGTGTTTGTCGGAACATAGTGAATTGCCTTCTTACATGTCGTTGATGAACTGGGTTTTCAGTTAGTAGGTCTCGAAAGAGACAAGTGTAGCATCACACACTAAAAGCAGGGCAAGTTCCTCTGTCACACCTCTGCTAACGAGCGTGCCTGACTTCTGACGTGTCAGTCTGAGGCCTGGGGAGGACAGTCGCCACGCCAGCCCTTCTGTCGCCAGGCACTGCCGGTGCCGCCAAACAGCACAAGGGTAGGGATTTCGGGAGGGCTCCATGCGCTGCTTTGTTTCTGAGAACTGGATGTGGATTTGTTTCGGTGGTAGCCTGATGCTGTTTTGCTGTTGCTTCCCATCTTGGCCCCTCATTTCTGCAGAGGTTTGTTTCCCCTGTGCGCTGTCAGGTCAGGCGCGCCCCCGGGACCAGAATCGTGCGGGCTCTGGTTTCACACCCGGCAGCACTGCTGCTGGAGCGCTTCCCAGCGCTGCGCTGGCCCCTGAGCTCTGTCAGCGCGGTCGTTTGTGGCCGCAGGCTGAGCTGGATCGAGGAGCAAACTTTAGTTCTTTCTCCCGACGGCTCTTCTGCTGTGGTTGGCTTCAGGTAGGAAGCGCTGGGACGATGTGCCGCAGCACGCAGTGTCGTCTGAGGGCCCTGGAATACCGCACCTCCTTGGCACCGCAGTGCAGGGCAGTGCCTGGGAACAGGCTGTTGCTGGTAGCCGAGCGTGCCGGCACAGGAGGTGGCTTGCAGCACGGGGAGAACTGCAGTCTTGGTGCCGTGCATGCAGCTTCCTTTCCGCTTCGTTCCCTGTCCTGCGTAGCCCGCCCGTCGTCCTTGGAAAACATGTACGATTTGGCAACAACCTGGTGTTTCGACACAGGTGGTGTTTCTTCAGATCCAGAGTATTTCCATCCCTTTGCTTATCACTTATCGTCCCCAGGTGACAGCCATCAGGCCTCAGTTGAAACAGCTATTGGTATTTAGGCTGGGATCTGAAAACATTCCAAAGATATTAAAATGAAGGAAGAAGTAGGCATGGAAGGAGGAACTGCTTTTTGTGTGCTAGCTGTTACTACACTTGCTGCTCAGAGTCGTAACTGCCCTTCAAAGAGTTGGCCCCCGAAAAGCAATGCAGGAGTGCGGTGCCATTCGTTTGGCGATAAGCTATCCTGGGGGGTGAGCAGCCTAGTCCGGCTCCTCTTGCCCCCCAGCTCTGATAACCGAGAGGTTAGCAGATCATTTCTAAGTTTTTCCTGCCTTGCAGTGCAAAAGAAGGCCCTAGCAGCCAACTCCTGTCTTACAGTACTGTGTCAATTTGTCTTTTCAGAGAAGAAATTCAGGATTTTCTTAATTGCATTGATGCCAGCCTTGAAGAGCTTCAAGCGATGCTGTCTGGGAAGCAGTACAGCTTCGGTTCTGAAGCTTTCAGCGATGTGAGTGTCTGCGCTTTTGCTGGTTTCTGAAAAATACTGGTGAGGTTGCGTTATGAAATGTTACTGGCTTGTTCCGTGTTGTAATGGGCAAGGGGGGGGAAATCCCGAAAAGCAAATAGTTATGGATGGAATGACCACGGTCGCTCCGGGAGTCTGCAGCATACAAGGTAACGCTGAGAGCCCTTTTCCGCTCCTGCAGTATTTCTGCTATACGGAACTCAAGGGGGACACAAAGGGAAAAATGGGGGGCTCTTCTTCTCACGCCTTTGTCACATGTCATCGCATCCTGATCCTGTGTTTGATTCCGTGTTATGATGTGGAATGAAACTCGGCCGTATACCTGGAATCACTGGAAAACATGGGGTGCTTCCCTTCCCCCGTGACCTCGGTTTCTGCCACAGGATGAAGGCACGTTGCTGTAGGCCTGCGGGGGAGCCGCCTTCCCCATGCTTCGCCGGACGGAGTGGTGTGCCAGACCCTGCTGTCCGTAAGCCTTGCTTTAGGAACCTTACTATGTGACATACGGTCTGTCTTTATTTTCAGACATTCAATCCTGAGCTGCCAGCCCTGGACATGAATTTGATGGAAACGTCTCCTGGTATGGAAAATGTAAGAGTTGCTTTGTGACTGGGGGGGTGTTAATACGATGTTGAGAGCTAAATTTTGACTGATCCTATCTGTGACTTCTGCACCTTCTGTTTAGAATGAGGAGGGTAGAAAATCGTCTTTTTTTGGTCTAAGTGTGTGAGAATGGTACCTTGGCTTGTTTCTCCTGGCCTCAGGGATTCCCATGATGTCTTTTAGCCAAGTAGTAACTAGGTCTGGGGTTATAGTTCAGATGAGATTGTGTGTCTTCAGTCCGTCTGAAGACTGAAGGAAGAGCACTAAATGAAACATCTACTGTAATATAGTGTATTTATTCTGAGCATTGCTGTATGGAGTTTCCTCAGAGGACGTACAGAAGTTCAGTCCAAAGTTACTTCTCTGGGTCCAGTTCCTAAAATTGACTCATGAAAAAAAAAAAGCCAAAACCAAAAAAGCCCCAACAAAACCTTGCAAGGGTAATTTATTCTGTAGTCCTGAAATAATATTTAAATTAGGACTTCCCAGTCATAAGAGCTTAGACCGCAGCTGCGGTAAAATGCAGCTGTGTTGAAGCAGCGCTTGCAAAATGTAATTGTACCGATGAAATATGTTCAACAGAATTATTCCAACAAGACAGACTATAACAAAGCTTCTGCTCTGGAAGGTAAAATAAGTATTTGCTAGTCAGAAGCATGTTTGGCTTTGGTAAGTTAAGTTTGTCTGTATTTTACTTTGCGGCCTTCTGAGAGCCCCAGTTTGCTGGCCCTCGTGTGCGGCAATGGGCATACTGGTCCCATGTTTGATTTCTCTTCCCTCCTCCTCTCACCTTTAGTTTTGTTAACGCATCAGTGGGGACTTGGATTTTGTTGCTGCTGTTAAGCATTCCCTCTTGCTCTGTCCCTTTTGCTTCAGATCGCGAACTTGGCAGAGAGCGCTGAAGACCTGGGAGCGAGCGAGCGAGAAACAGCGGGAAGCAAAGGTGGGCAGGAAGGAACACTGAGAGCTGTGACAGCTCCAGACTCTTCCAAAAATGCGTGTTGAAATGGAACCTTTGTAGCCTGTAATTCGGTTTATCTCCTCCTTTGGTCTGGGCTTAACGTTTTTGCAAAGGCTGGGATGTGTCACTGCTCTCGACGAAGCTGTGCCCCAATCTAAGAGGCCCCGGCCCAGGCCCCACGTTGGTGTTAACAGCTTCCTCCTTACACGTGGCAGTGTCACAGCAGGGAGCAGAACTGCGAATGCCATTGTGGAAGCATCTCCCACGCGGGCTGCGGCCCCCGCAAGTGCAGCGCTGCTCGTTTTACTGCTGCGGTGCTGCTCCTGCGTGGTGTGTGCGTCGGGGCTTGCAGCCCGCTTCCGATGCTGATCTTGGCCAGCCCAGGCGCCTTGGCTCCGCCCCCAAAAAAAAATGGGGCGGGGGGGTGCGCCGCCCGCTTCGGATGCTGATCTTGGCCAGCCCAGGAGCCTTGGCTCCGCTCCTGCAGCTGTGGGGGTAGTCAGCCAGAGCTCAGCTGCGTGGTTTCCTTTAGCGACCCAAGCGCTGAAGCAGCCTCTCCAGTTTTCTTTGTCCTGAACAAGAGCCTTCGCTCGTGTGACACGGGAGCCTGGGGTTTAAACTCTCTGTTTCCCTTCAGATATGCAGCTGATACAGTACAGGGCCAATCCTCTGCTTTCATTATTTGAAGAACCACCTTCAAGTGAAGCGGCCGGGAAGACGGAGGATCCGAAAGACCTTCTGCTGCCTCCCCTGGAGGCGAAACCTGCTCTTCATCCTCCATCAGGGGGTGAAACTGTCTTGCCGCTAGCAGCTCCAGCCAGCCAGGCTGAGCCTCTGGATGCTCTGGGGATGGCTGATCCGCCCCTCCTCTCAGAAGATGGGAATGGAGAGTATAAACTGTTCCCCCTCTTGCTCCTCAGTCCCGTGGCTAACTTCATAGAAGAGGCCTCTGAGATAGAAACTTCCTGAGCTCCCGTAACACCTGTAGAGTTGTGGAACAGGCGACAACGAAATGGGTCGGCAGGGAGTTCGACCTCTCCTCGCCTGTTGCCCAGGCGCCGTCTTCTGTGTGGCCAAAAGAAAGTTCTCTTTCCACAAAGAACACCTGGAAAAACTGAAAACAGGAGCTGGTGGGAGTGGAGGCACTGGGCATAGGGGAAGAACGACCTCCCTGAAAACATACCGCGACGTATCCCCTAACTTTTTACCCAATATCCTTCTTGCAAAAGGAAATCTGTTTGTATCCCGTTTGTAAAGTTTGGCTGGGTTTTTTTGTTGGGTTTGGTTTGGGGGTTTTTATTAGCTGGATAGCAATGTGGTGTGTAATATTTTAAACATGGATTTTACTCTTCCTGAGAACCTGTTTTAGGAGGTGGCTTGGCTACTGTTTGGAATTAAGATTTTAATTTTTCTTTTGTTTTGTTTATAATTGCAGAATTCTTTTTTGATAGTTTGTGGCCACAATTGTTTGCATCTGCTTCGATCACTTTTGTATTCCTAGATTTGCTCCTAGGTACAGGGAACATTTTTCCTATGGAAAATTGCATTTTAACTGTGGAATATTCCTTTTTAACATGCTGACACGCGTCCATTGCCACGGATTGTAGGTGTTGTGGTAGGAAGGGCTTGCCACCCCGTATGATGCTGATCTCTCATGCACATTGCATGGCAGTTCTAGAGTAACTTGCACCTAGCTCACAGGTTAGATGGCCTCAGAAATTTTGAGTAGAACCGATTCACGCCTAGCAAAGTCCAGCAGCTGTCCTGAGTCGGAGTGGGGTAACTTGCATTGACATGGGACATCGCATTAAGATTTTTCTTCTGCTTGCAGCAGCTTCTTGTTTACCTGACCCTCCATGAACACCGGACTTCTTCCTGCATTTTCTGCTTGTGGAACCTTAAAGCTAAATTAACTTGATGCATCTGAGTCCTTTGACAGCAAATTACAAAAGCTAGTGTCTGCTTATCTGAAAAATCTTGCCCCGAGTTCCTTTCCACACTGCTTTCCTCACTTCTCTGAGCCGCTGTACTGTAGACGTCGGGCCTGGCAGAATAGCAAGCTCTCCTCCACTGATACCAGGCTTGTTGGAGCCTGCCACGAGCCCACACAAACCTGGAATCTGCCGTAGTGATCCAAACCAGGGGGCCTGGAGGCAGGTAGAAAAGCCACTGTATAATATCACGCGATACTTCCCACCAACGCAATCACTTGAAATTTTTTTCAGATCTAGGAATTCAGGCTACGTACAGGGTTTGTTCTCTCTGAAGTTTCTGAACTAGTAAGTCTTGAGATCTCTCGTATCCAAGAATCCAGGTTAACCTGATATTCTAAAGCCTGCTAGATAAACACGTGCTATCTGTGCTGGCCTTGCTTCGTTGGACTTGTGCTTCGTTGTCAGATCTTCTGAGTTGCAGAGGGGGATCTTGCTGCCGAGCGTGGCGTACGTGCAATGCCTGCACAGCGTCGTTTGTTCCCATGCTGCTGTAACCGTTCCTAACCCTCTGACCCCTCATCTCTGTGTCTTCTGAACTGCTTTTTGCCGAGTCTGTCTTACTCTAGCCTCTTCTGCTCGCTCTTCTGCTCACTCCTTGAGACGAAGGGCTGAGTAGTCCCCACTTTCCCTGAGCTAAAGGGAGAGGGGGAATGGGCGCACTGCGCATCTGTCAAGGGTTCTGCTGCCTTTTCCGTTTCTTCCCAAAGGCCTCGGGTTTTGCCAAGAGCGAAGCAGTGGCGAACAGACTTTTCCTCTCTGCTGTTCTGACAGCCCGGTGCAGACCACGAGTTCTGTGAGGCCGATCTGCAGCTCCGGCTTCCCGACCAGCCTGGGCTGCAGCGCAGTGCCTGTCACGGATTATGGGCGTGTTCTTCCATCACGGAGTGCTCTGATCCCAGTGCATCTTGCCGTCAGACATCTGATCTGATTCCGTGATAGTTTTTTAGTCACTTTTTCTCTTAAAAAGTTAAGAAACCAAGGCTTAAGAAAACTGTCAATAAAAACTTGTGCATCTGTGTCTGGTTTCTGTACTGGTCTAGAAGTGTTTGTTTATGCAAGTTTCCTAAGGAAGATTGCAATGGGGAGGGGAAGGCTGAATAGCGAGAAAAGCCCCATGTGCTGAAGTAATTAAACTCAAGAATTGCAAAACCATTTTTGTGTTTCTCGTGCCTTCTTTGTGTGTGTTCCTGTGTGTGTCAATACTTCCCCAACCTGTTCACTGAGTTTTCTAGCGAGGAGAGCTTTGCTGCTCTCCGGGGTCTCCTTGTACGGCTGCTGTGGCTCAGACAGCTGAAATGCTGAGGTGAGCCTGGCACCAGAGCTGTCAGCCTGGGCGAGAAGGAAGTTGAGGTTTATTATGAACCCATATTCACCGTACTGTGGAATCGGAGCATGAGGGAATGGGACCGACCACCACCTTTGAACAGTTCCCGGTGCCGCCTTCCTTCCATGTTGCTTCTGTCCGGATTTTTAGATACAAACGTTCCTGAAACCAGCTCTGCTGTTCTAGAGCTGCTGCCCTCGTCTCTTCCCCTGGCTTTTTGCCAGTAAGGTTCAGCCATGGTCCGCAGTTCTCCCTGGGCGAAATCTCACACAGAGGCAGCGCGAAAGGTTGTCCAAGGCCCCCGCTGCTTGTTCATAACTCGTGGTCCCGCAGTGCAGAATCCCAGCCGCAGCACTTTGAAGAGCCTGTTCATAGCAAACAACTAAAATGTAAATTCTGCTGGGTCTTCTTTAGCATGGCCGGGCGCCAGGGGATCGCCGACCCCTGGGCGTACGCCAGCCTGCCGGTTCGGGCTGCTGCGCCTCCGCAGCGCGGTGCGTGACCGGGCTGCGTTACCTGTGGCTGCAGTTGCTTCGCTGTGGTGCGAGTTCCCTTCCTCCGCCAGCACCAGGGCACATGGCTGCTGCCTTTGCGGCTTGGTTTTCGTGTCCCCTGTCTGCAGAAGGAAAGGTTGCTTTCCTTCGACTTCCATGAGCTGAGAATTTGCAGAACCCACCCGGGCATGGCAAGCACAGCGTGAGAAAGTGAAAAGTTCCCCTCACGAGCTCCTTTCCTACTGTTCCGGACTTGCCCCCCCCAGACCGCGCCAGCCGCCAGGTTTTTATCTCACAGTGCTGTGTGCTGGCTAACACAGAGCTTTCCAGAGTACGAGAAAAACTTGGTTTGATCTGTCTGTCCTGGGCTGTAGGGTGCCACAGATACACTTTTAGGCACCGTTATTTTGCAGGGTGAACGATCGGCAACTCTAAAATAAGGAAATCTGTAAAAGCAAGGAACCACCATGAAAGCAAAGACCTGGAAAGGAAAGGGACACAATAAAACCAGGGCTGCCAGGGCTGTATACACAAACCTCCCGGTTATTAATGTTAAATTACTTAACAACCTCATGAAGCTGCCTGCCACAGCAATGGAAGCAGAGCTGTCTTTGAGCCATACCTACGAATATAAGAAATACTGTTTTTCCCCACATTGCCACTCCGGAATCGGGCACGCAGCAGCAATTGCTCCGGCGCGCCCTGCGGTGCTCCTACAGACGCAGACGCCGTCTCGCTGTCATTAAAGGGGGGCTGTGCTTCAGAATATGCTCTAGCACTTTGTTGGCTGCATTTGCTTATTCCAGCTACTTGCCCTTGAGGGCTGGGTGTCGAGTCGGGATGCAGCCATAGCAGAGCGCGTATCGGTTTAGCTGAACACAGCGACGCAGAGGAGATGTCTGCCATTAGGCTGTAAGAAAAGTTAAGAGCTGCAGAAAACAGAAGACGGGCAAAGGCTCTTGAAGATAAGAAGATGCTCAGTAGAGAGCAGGTACTCCTCCTGGGTGGGCCTAGTGCTCAATTACTTGATAACACAGATTACCCATACCTAGTATTACCTTTAATTAGCAATAACGCATCTCATTACAGTTAAGAAGTCCCGATTTCATAGTCGTGAAGACTTTCTACATTGGTGAGTTCCTCTTTTTTCTCTCTAGGTAGGGACTTGTTTGCCTGTTTCCAAAGCAGCCCACAGGGCAAGGCAGGTGCATGTGGCCCTAATCCATTTTGTTAATTGAATGCAATTAACCAATTCAACCAAGCAGCTAAATAGCGATGGGAGAAAGGAGGATCTGACTGTGATAGAGTGGGGTGGTTGAGGTGGGTGTCTGCAGCTCTCAAAGGCTGCTTGGTTTTGGATCTATATGCCTAAACTCTCTACCACTTAAATGGGATATAATGGTATAGAATGGAATAGTTCAGCTGGAAGGGGCCCATGCTGGCCATCTGTCTCACAGGGGTAATGTAAAGATTGAAGGTGTTTTGTGAATCTTGACTTAAAATGGAGTGGTGGGCTCCATCGAAAAGCTGGTAGGAAAATGAGCAGTAAGGGTCTTGGTTGTCTGGCTCCTGGAGGGCCCCCTCTCTGATCTCCCTGTGTGTAATGTGCGTGTTAAAATTTATTATTTAGAAAGCAGTGCAAGGAGGAAAGGAGGAAGAAATAGGTGTTCAGGAATAAAGAGAAACAGAGGAAGCATCATTTTTGAAGCCGAATTAAAAAACAGAAGGGGGAAAAAGCACCCTCAACAGGAAATATGGAATTAATAGAAGCAACTCTTAACCTTCCCTCTTTCCACCCTCCCTTAGGACTTCTGTCCACACCTCTGGTGGTCATCACTGAGACAATTTTTTTTCTGAAAAAAAGGAAGGAAAAACCGTCAGCAGCTGTCCTGGGTTCTCTGCAGCAAAGCGAGCAGAGAAAGGGAAGCGTTTGTGATTCAGCCCCTGCCTCGGAGAGAGGAGGTCTGCCCTACGCGGGAGGGAGAAGCTGCAGCCCGGGGAAGGATGGGGATGCTGGTGAGAGCAGCCCTGCTCATGAGTCCTCTTCTCTTCTGCAGTGGTGAGTCTATGGAAAGGTCCCCTGCCCAGGGCCGTTCCTTCCCTGCCCCTGGTGTGTCTGCCTGTGCTTGTATGTTCTTTTTCGGGAGCAGAAATATGGCAAACAGGCCAACATCTCTGCGTGCTGCTGGCCTGGTGTTCCGTCATTTCAACGCCAGTCGCCACGGGGTGCAATGGTGCGTGAAGGCTCTGGAGCTGCTGCCCACGTGCTTCGAGCACTGAGATCCCCCTGTGCATTGGGACGGTTATTTTGGGGAGCACAGCACAGAGGTTCCCAGGAAAGGGGAGGTTTGGAAACCAGGAGAAAAGGGTGAAGAAGTGTCTATGGTAGCACAGATTCAGGCCTAAGAGTGACAAAAGTGTACTGGGACAACGGCAAGAGACCTCAGTTTGATAGGAAAACTTAAAGCGTTTCAGACTTCTTCAATCCGTTGCTTAAGTTCGGCTCAGTCTGGAAAAGCAGCATCTTTCAGCAGAACAAAGGGGCGGCGGAGGAGAGAAAACCACAAATGCTGTGGCTCGCTGTTGGCACGCGGTGCTTTCCAGGGTGGCCCCGAGAGCGACACCGGGTGGCAGGGGCAGGCGTCAGCTGCCACCGGGGAGCTGCGCGACTCGGGCGCGAGGCAAACGCCTTCTCTTGGGTCGAAGTCGTCCGCCAGCTCCCACCCTGTGCTCTGCCTGGCGTTGGCGTGCTGGCAGGTAAGGCCCAGGCAGAGCATGGGAGCCAAACTGCACGTGTGGCGTGCATCAGTGCCCTGGCAATCGGCTGCCCCCCATCTGTCTCCCGCGTGCCACATTGCTTTTTTGCTAGCCCATCCCTGAACAGGCCGTCCCTCGTTGTCTACGCTGACTGCCTGTGCTGTTGGTCTGGTGGATACCGCTTGCTGGTGCTCTTGCCACCGCTTCTTCCTCCAGGAGCTGCCTTCACTGTGATTGTTTTTTTTTTTTTAATTTTCTTTCTCCATTCTTCCTGCAGCTTTTCTGCACCTGACTGGCCCCAACGAGATCGAAGGCATGTGGAAGGGATCTGCCACCTTGCCTTGTGCCTATGTGCCTGCAAAGGACTTTGTGCAGCAAAAGTTGACATGGTCTGTGGAACATGACCAGACCTCTGGCACCATCTTTCAGAGGGATGCCTCCGGCGACCACATTCTCGTGGCCGAGTACAGGGACCGGGTCAGTGTCCCCAAGGATGCCCCAGGGAACGTGTCCCTCCACATCCTGAACCTGGAGGTCTCGGACAGGGGAACCTACAGCTGCCAGGTCACCTGGCGAGACAGCAGCAACAGCCTGATAGCAAAAGAGATCACCATGAAATTGGAGGTTGTTAAAGGTAAGCCCAAGGAGGACGCTGTGCAGGGGGTGAGGGCTGGGCTCGGGAAGGCTTTTGGGAACTACATAGACCAGGTAGGCGGTGACTGCCCGCTTCCCACACAGGAGTGTTTTGCTGAGCGGTGTCAGACTCCAGCGAGAAGCAGCAAATAGGTCAGAGAGAGGAATCCTGCCCACAATGCTGCGCCCAGGGGGCTGGGGGAGGATTTGTGGCCTCTTGCTTACCGATTTGCCCCAGCTCTACCTGTATCCGATGGCTCGATGTTTCCAAGGGACGTGCACCATGGAGGGAGCCCCTGGGATGACGCGTTGCTTTTCTTTGAGCTCACTTCATCAGCACGTGCCTGATCTCCCTGTGTCTGGGCAGTGGTGATTTATAGATGAACAGAGGTGGCATCAACCCAGCAGAGCGTTCGTGTAGGAGCTGCAATGGGTTGCATAGCTGGTACAGGCACAGCTAAGCTGAGCTTAACCTGTGCAGAGAGGTGCCGTGAGAGCGGTGCCCCTCTTCCTCCTGGGAAAGCACTGAAAGCCAGAGCAAGAACTGCCCGGGGGCGGCGGGGACCTTCCCCACCACAGCCAGGGCCAGCGTGACCCGGGCCCCATCCACTTTGTCTTCCAGTTGCAGTGACCAAGCCTGTCATCAGGGCCGGCGAGCTGGGGCTGAGGGTGCC